ATTTTTATAAAAAACCGACCAGCGCGACCTCTAAGAAAACTTTTTTTTTCAAAATCAAAAACACGTTTCTCTTTTTTTTATCACAAATAGCAATAATTTGAGGTAGCGTATATGAATTTCCAAAAAAACAAAATTTGAACCACTCTACTTAATACCTACACCTCTATTTAATACCTACACATCTGAACTACATATTTACACGTGCACGGGCATGTACTGACCTTCCATTCTAAATATAGCGAAATTTATTAGTTCAAAAATATTTAATATGAAGCAGTGTGCCAGTTGTCAAACTCAATGTTGCACAAAAGTAGATATTACCACCAAATGCTGGCTTTGATTTCATTTGTTATCGATTTCTTTATTTTCATGAAATGTAAATAAAATTCGTGCCTTTGATCAATGACGAAATGTGACGCTAACATTTTTTTCTTGTGGTGCCGGTGCTTGTTGGACAGTTTCAGCAGAGGCGCACATTGCGTCAACGCTTCGATATGTATTGACATTTTTTCATTTAACACCAACTAAAATTTAGTAATTTTTTAGTACAATCTTGGCATGCCAAACAGATGTTTACTTTATAAATTTTAATCTATTCCGCACGGGTGTTTGACGCAAAATGACCACCGAATGTGACTGCTGGAATTAGCACCTTTTTAGTTGATGCTGCAGCTGTTTAATGATATGGGTTGATCGTAAATAGCTATGTACATAAGTATATTTATACATATGTACATAGAAGCAGGGACCGAACAGTTATTGATGAAAACTGTCATTGAAAAATTCACTATGAACGAAATGTTCTTCAACTAAGTGACACATACCAATTGATTTATTTTTTTACCGATAATCATATTTGAAAATAAATTTTTATTTGTACTTTTTATGTAAAACTAAAAAAAAATAACAATCATTTTTGATTTTTATTTTACAAATGTAAAATAACAATTAAATTTGAGTTTTATCTAAATAATCTGTAAATAACAGTTACTTTTCATTTTTATATTATATGTCTCAGGTAACAGTTATTGAAGACTTTTATTTATAGAAGTCATCAATAAAAATCAGTCAACGACTTTTATTTTTTAAATCATACGTATAAAATTCATTATCATTATTCGCAGTTAAGAAGGAGTTGAAGAGCCAAAGTTTACCACGACTTATACAAATGACTTTTATAAGTACGATTTTAAAAGTAAAAGTCAGTGACTGATTTATATTTATGACTTTTATAAATAAAAGCCTTCAGTAACTGTTATCTAAGATATATAATTTAAAGATCCAAAATAACTGTTATTTGCAGATTATTTAGATAAAAATCGATAATAATTGTTATTTTGGAATTATAAAATAAAAATCAGAAAAAACTGTTATTTAGGGAGTAATGAAATAAAAGTCAAAGAATAATTGTTAAATATTGATTTTTTTAATAAAAGTTGTAACTGTTACCATCCCTGCATAGAAGACATTCTATGGTATTATGTAGAGATGTGCGACAACGGCCAATCGAATTCTTTTGGACCCGCTTATAAGAAGAATAGTCACGAAAAAACAGAAAAACAATAACAGCAACGTTCGCTCAGTATTTTCGTAAAATTTCGAATACTTTATTTCGTATAGAAAAACGTGCAGCTTGCCCCGATAAGACCAGAGAGAGTACTAAATAATACTTGCGAGAAGCTAAGACGAAGTTCACAGTGTAGGCGGTGGCACGAAAAGCAATTAGCGGTATATGGTATAAGTCGACTTGACTTAGTGGACTTTTGCAACTAACCGCTCACAAACAACTAGTCGACCAACCGTTCATTTTCGATTTTTCGACTAGTTGTTTTTGATGGTTAAGCTGCCTTTACACGGGTCGATTTGCTAGTCGATTTTTATCGTTGAACCAAAATCGACCTATGTAAATAGCAATTCAATCGTAAAATGTAAGAGATTTGGCTAGTCGATTTCTCAGTCGATTTTCCACTCGACAGAAATCGGCCCGTGTAAAGGCAGCTTTATGCATAACGGACAAAACCGAACCGCGCATAAAAATAATTTTATTGTAAAAAACCATCACTATTTTAATAACATCGGTTAGTCGATTTTCATACTACTCGATCAGTCGAAAGTGAACAGTTAGACGAATTCCAGCGGTTAATCGAATTGTTTTTATTTATTATATAAAACCGAAGTTGGTTATTAAGAGGCAGAACTAAACTGCAGCATTTCACACGAGGATGCTCTATAGCTCAAATATGTATAAGTTATGTATGTCGGAGTTTTACAATTCAAGATTCTTCCTAGCGAATGATACTGCGTTGGTCGTTACTTTTGTCAAACTACTCAAAGGCTCGCCTAACAGCGTTGGACTCCACTAGGAAGAATATGAAAAAAGGAAGAGATAGACCTAAGGAGAGGAGATGGCCGGGGAGAGGGTTCTTTCAAGGTTCAGTACAATCTGGTCCAATGCAACCAAATATTCTTCTTACAGTGGAATCGAGTCTATGTACGGGTATCAGATAAAGAAGTATTCATGATCTTCAAACGTTAACAATTAGGGCGCTGCGAAGAGTCATGAGACAATCGAATGAAAAAACAAATACGTATTAAGGGCGCCAGATGCATCGATGTATCCTCAAACTGAATTTGTGGTTAAACAGGGCAACAAATTCAAACATGGAAGCGATGGAAGCGTACCACAATACGTCAATTTCGTTAGTTCAAACTTTTTGATAATGAAGTATTTTGTCTACCAATCTACATCTCGGCCNAGTATATTTTGCTGAGCTGCACATCCTTCTTTGCACGAAAAACTTGTGCACGTAACCGAAAAAGGCACTTAAGCGAATTTTCTTTACTACTTCAATGAGGAAGGTATGCGAATCCCTATGAAACCAAATATTGGCGGAGCACTTACCTTGTAGAAATTACTGCAAGCGAAATTTTTACCGAATGTTATCTAATTATCTATATAACTACATAAATTGATANGAATATGAAAAAAGGAAGAGATAGACCTAAGGAGAGGAGATGGCCGGGGAGAGGGTTCTTTCAAGGTTCAGTACAATCTGGTCCAATGCAACCAAATATTCTTCTTACAGTGGAATCGAGTCTATGTACGGGTATCAGATANAAAAATGAAGAGATAGACCTAAGGAGAGGAGATGGCCGGGGAGAGGGTTCTTTCAAGGTTCAGTACAATCTGGTCCAATGCAGCCAAATATTCTTCTTACAGTGGAATCGAGTCTATGTACGGGTATCAGATAAAGAAGTATTCATGATCTTCAAACGTTAACAATTAGGGCGCTGCGAAGAGTCATGAGACAATCGAATGAAAAAACAAATACAGTATATTTTGCTGAGCTGCACATCCTTCTTTGCACGAAAAACTTGTGCACGTAACCGAAAAAGGCACTTAAGCGAATTTTCTTTACTACTTCAATGAGGAAGGTATGCGAATCCCTATGAAACCAAATATTGGCGGAGCACTTACCTTGTAGAAATTACTGCAAGCGAAATTTTTACCGAATGTTATCTAATTATCTATATAACTACATAAATTGATAGCCATTTTCGTTGTTCTGCGAGATGAGCAAAATAAATAAAAGGTTGTAAAATTAGGTAATTGTAGGGCCAGTGCAGGTAAACNTTGATACTAGTCGCACAATTTTTAAGGCAGGTATCGCCAATGTGCAGGTATGTTGAATGCATCTATCGGAGCAGTTTCCGTATAAATGTTAAAAATAATGCTTTTGATGCGCATTTTGGGGTAGGTATCTTAAATGTGCACTTAAGCATAGAGGCAGTAAAGCAAAATATACTGTACATATTAAGGGCGCCAGATGCATCGATGTATCCTCAAACTGAATTTGTGGTTAAACAGGGCAACAAATTCAAACATGGAAGCGATGCGTACCACAATACGTCAATTTCGGTAGATCAAACTTTTTGATAATGAAGTATTTTGTCTACCAATCTACATCTCGGCCTATAGATCAAGTAGAGGATAAATCTTATCGCCCAGTGCTACTTTGGACTCAGTTGGCAATAAGAAAAAGCAGAGTGCTCTTTCGATGTCAAAAACTCGCGATCTACACATATTTTCTCTTGAGATGAGAGGGCTTTTGGAGCTTTCCAAATAATTATTCCATGCAAGAGCTATTGCCCTATATGCGTAGGCGACGGGTACCGAAGAAGATGGAATGTCGAAATGTATGGACTTTAAAATGACCTGAAAAGCGCTTCATGGTAAGATTCCACTGTTGCGATGGCTTGAACATTTCGTACTTATAGATGAAAAGGCCCTCTTATTCAAAACCCATAAACATAATGGGAGAACCAATTGCGGAAGTACCTTGTCTAGACTTGGGATGAGCAACGGGCGTGAGTTTAGTTTTCCAAAGGCGAGAAGAATTTGGCGAAGCGGTTTTAGTATCGGTCCAAACCGAGCGTCGGTACAGAGCTACATACGAGATGAAAGAAGAGAGTGAGTGGATGTCAACTGGCTAATGCTTATCTGAATTCTGAAGTGAAGAAAATAGCAATTACAGCCAACTCCAGCCGCTACCACCTGCAAGCAAATGAGTGTTATGTAAAATCTGCGAAAGCCGTAAATGTCAATAAAAATCGGTATTTACATTGAAAATTTAATGCGAATTTTTAATATTGAAAAGGATTTTCAATTTTCTTATCAAACTGATAAGCGCAAAAGCACTAAAATCATATGAAAAGCCACGCCAATGCTGCCAAATTAATCAAAACAAAAGTCTCCGAATTATACAAACATACAAACATTTGAAATTTCAGAAAGCTTGTCTACTTGACGCCACCCAGTGTTGAGCTTGCAAAGCTTTAGAGCGTGCTTTTGCTTTCACACCTGTTGCGCGAGGCTGGCACACAAGCACACACACATTAAAGAAAATTGGGTGACCGTGGCGGCGGCAGTAGCAGCCGATTGGCGTGCGTCAAGCTTGAAACAGCGCCACCACCGGCCAAGTGGTGGGGGTGCCATCAAACACATGCCACCAGCCAGCTAACTAGCCATAGTAGCGCTCGCCCAGCTTGCTATCAGTTCAGTTGCGGTTGAGGTGTCGTACGCGTTGGGCGCACCGAAAACAAAACAAAACAAAAAAAAACATTTGCACTGCAGTAAGCTTTGAGAAAATTTCCAACGGCATTTCGCTTTTGTTTTAAAATGCGCTTGTAAGCAGAATAAGCAAAAAAAGCTAACGGAATTTTGCAAAGGAGGCGCGCGTTAAAATAGTTGTTTACGCTATTTCTTTGAAAAGTTTGAAGAAAAACTCCTTTGAAAGTGAAAATATAGTTGGCAACGCGAGTGTAAATAAATATTTGAAAGTGCGCACGAGTGTGTTTGTGAGTTTGTGTTGCCTAGAAAAAGTGCAACCAACTCCTGTCAAAGGAGCTTTGCACAAGAAGCGCAACGTGCAAAAGCAAACAGCGATAGAAAGTTAAATGTTTTGAAATTTGAATTCGAACGACTCAAGGATACGCGGTCAGCGCCACAGGACTAGCGCAGGCAGGTGGATAAGCCAACGCTGCTCCACTTTTTGCTGTCAGCTTGCCGGTGAGGGAATTGGCAGTAAAGTAAGCAAAGCAAAGAAAGACGAAGTGAAGCAAATCAAAGCAGAAAATTTAGTGCTCTGAAATGTGCCGATAAAATAACGACATTCGCCAATATTTGCATATTCAAGTGTTTACTGTGTTTTTATGTTGATTTTGTTGTTGTGTGCAGTTTTGTGTGTTGTTTTTACGGGTTTTATACATACAAACATATCTAGGTTTTGTTTGTTTTCTTGCAGTTGTACCGATGCAACCGGTAGAATGTAATAACTTCGTGTTGTTATTTCAATTAATGCCTTTTCAGTTCTGTACGGACATCTGAAGACGCAGCGTGAATTCTTAAGTAGCTCGAAGAAAGCGATCAGCGAAAGAGTGTTGCTCTTGTGAAATTTACTTTGACTTTACATGTGCTTAATAGTCGCATTTAGAGAAATATTAGTGTAGGAAAAAAGTGTGTAAAAAGTATGATTGAAAAGTAAATAGAATAAACAAGTAAAATAATGAAAGAGGAAAAAACAAAATAGAATAAAAAGTAGACTAAAATAAAATTAAATTAAATAAACTAAAACACAATAAAGTAAAAAAAATAAAATAAAACTAAATAAAATACAACTAAACAAAAAAATTATATTAAATTAATCAAAACAAAACAAAATAAAATAAAATTAAAATAAAATAAAATAAAATAAAATAAAATAAA